CCCCCCTCTCATGTGCTCTCTCTCTCTCTCTCTCATTCTCTCTCTCAAATAAATAAATAAAATCTCTAAAAAAAAAAATAGCTGCTCATTTCTCTGAGCAGTCAGAATTGTGTGTCCCTCCATTATCCCATGGACTTAAAACAATTTATGTTTTGTTTATAGATGTCTCTCCCATTTGGCTGTAAGCTTCTTAAGAGCAGGGTCAACATCCTGGCCCTTCTTGCTCTCCACATAGTGTTTGACATTCATTCATTCATCCAACAACCATTTATGCGTGCCTACCATTCAATACCACAGAGTGAACATGAGGAAGAGAATTGCAGAGAAAAATCAGCAATTAAATGTTAATGTTGTAGGAAAATTTTCCAAGTTAGGAAAGCTCTGAAAAAAATGAGGAAAAAATATTGCTACAGATCAGGTTATAGAAAGCATTAACAGAAGATATCACAGAACTGGTTTATTTTTATAGCTAGCATATATGTTTCTAAGTTAAAGGCCTCTGTTTTCTACTGCTTTGCCCATTTTGTGTGATCTGGGACCTCTGTGGGTTGTGTATAGAAAACTGGTAGACTCGGGGTGAGTAAAATAAATCTAATCAATGTTCATTTGCAAAAGAAAACATGAATGAGTACTGAGAATATTTAAGGAAAAGAAAAAGACAAAAACTTTTTTCATGGCAGAGGCCTGAAGTCCAACTTGTGACTGTCAAGCTACTGCATAGCTTCTTAGAAAAGAACTTGTTTTCTTTTGAACCCTTCTATTAAAGCAAAACATACTGCTTTCTCAGAGTATACATCACAGCTAGGTTTATTTCAAATACCATTTGTGTGTGGGTGTCATTACGAAATACTTGGTTTCCTGTTTCTCTAGTATTGATTAATTTAAATCCAATTTTCCAGAACATCTGTACCAAAAAAGGATTTTTAGTTACCATTTCAAGTAATTTCTGATAGGGCAATTTTAAGCCAATATTGTGCTCAATTCTATACATTGAGATCTTTCTTTCTCAATGCAGGGCCTCCTGGTCTTTTCCACCAAACTTTCAGTCATTCTTTACATCTCATAATCCATTCACCCACAGAATACAGAAATGATTTCTGATTTTATACAAGGATATTGAATGCTCAACCCCATTTTTTTTAATTCCCCAAAACAATTAACTTCACAAAAACATCCTCTTCCATACCGGTGTTTCAGAATCACAGTTGTTAATTGTTAAGATTTCTGTATATATTTCTAAACTGATGAATGTCTTTATTTTATTTTCAATGCATTCTCCTCTAATGTGTCATTGGTCACTCTTCCTTAATTTTTCTAAGCTCTTCCTGAAAAGCCTGTTATTCCTTCACACCTGAGTCCCTATAGTGCACAGATAGGCCTCCCCAATTCTCTAAGGAACCCAGGGCACTCTCTTAGATGGGGACTGACTGACTACCTTATTAGGGTCGCCATCAACTTTATTAATAAACTGTAACCCATATTTCCATTTTTAAAAGTAGTCCATACTAAAATCTATTAATATTTAAAATATTTCATTTAAAGTATCAGCATAATTCTTTTTTTTATTAAAATATCAGCTTAATTCTGAAAGAATAAATACCCCATGCATTATCAATATGACAGATCTAAAAATTCCCAGTATGGTAGAGCCTAAAGCATCTTAATGTGGCATCAGCTCAGCTGAGTTCAAATCCTGGCTCTGCCACAGATTGGATAGACTTGAGGAGTTTTTCTAGACCCCCGAGCATCATTCATTTGTCCAGATGCTCTCTTGAGCATCTCTTGTATATGCCACATGGCAAAGTCATGGTGGTGAACAAGGCATTCATAGTAGTTCGCTAAGCTGACCCCCTAATGCGGTAAGTTTCCTCATTTTTTTTTTAAAGATTTTATTTATTTATTTCACAGAGAGAGAGGGAACACAAGCAGGGGGAGTGGGAGAGGGAGAAGGAGACTTCCCCCCCGAGCAGGGGGCCTGATGTGGGGCTCGATCCCAGGACCCTGGGATCATGACCTGAGCCGAAGGCAGATGTTTAACGACTGAGCCACCCAGGCGCCCCGTCCTCATTTTTAAGATAGAAATAATAACACCCATCTTGTAGGGTGTAAAATTAAATGGCTCCTCCTACTTACGGCTTCTTGCCACTTCTGCTCCATGCCACCACCACCACCCTCCCCCACTTTCTTATCAATGATCTCATTAAGTTTCCCTGCTTTGAACCTCTTCAATATATAAGATAAACTTTTCAAACCACACCAGGCCAGTTCATAGGAAGTCACACCACTGGCAGAGTTATTCTGGAGGCTGTCTTTGTGGCCCCTGCACAACCAAGAGAACAATGTTACTGGTTCATGGCACACTATCCACTGCCCAGAAGATGCCTGGGTTTCCTCTATGCATTTGCTTATCCTTCCCACATTATCATTTCAAAGTGCCCAATCAGATAGTAACAACACTGCATCTCCCTTTCTATTGATGAGAGGTTTTCTTTCTTCCAGGTGAGTTCCTTGGAGATTCCTAATGCATTATTAATGAAAACAAGGGAAAGACTGATAGAAAGAATATAACTTGTTGAAGAAATCTTTAGTTAAATCTACATTCCATGAAATGGATCCACTCCCAAATACACAGTTATTTGGAGTTATTCATTTGCAGACTGAAACTGAAGAACGTATTTCTAGAGGTGTTTCTATATTGAAGTATAAAGTACAACTCTGGAAAAATCTATGTGTAATGCTATGTATATTCATTTCTAGATTCTGTTAGAAGTTGCGTAGCAAAGTTGTTCTTTACCTGCTCCCTGAAGGGTCATTACTGCCTCTACAGTAAATCCAGTTTTATTCTCATCAGCCAAGAACCTCAGCCGTGGATCCAGATCATGTTCCTCTTTCAGCAGGTGTGTATATGCATGTTTGTCATGGCTCCTTAGTGAGTTGGTGGGTTATGAGTTTATAATCACTTTTACTGAATTCTTTGATTAGAGTCCATATGTAAATAACAGCAATGCATACACATTTCACTAATAATTTTTAACATGGGTTTTCTATATTTTAGGGTAGTTTCTTTATGAAAGACCTTGGATTAGTATTAAGGAGGCCAAACTTAGTAATATCTTGAATGTCCTTAGCTTTAAAGAAAAAGAAGAGAATGTTCTTCTCTTAAAAAAAAAAAAGAAAAGAAAATATTTTTTTGTTAAATGACAACAAAAACAGCTTATTTGGAGGAATAGCTTTCCTTATGTAGGGCTTGTCTTTATTTCTCTACAGCCTTCCAATCTCCAATTAATTTGAGTGTCAACATATCCTTTTTGACATCATTAAAATACTGGAATGCCATTTTTTCCCATAGAATTTATGTATATAGGTAAAGTTACATAAAGAGGAACTTTCAACTTAATGAACAACTTGATGCAAAGATTTTAACATCAGCAGGGAGTCTTGATTATTTGGAAATACTTATCTTGAATGCATTAAACTTTCATATAAAAGTTGAATATAGATTATAAAATGTTAGTAATAGGAGGAATATCAGACATCATTTTTACAGATACGTAAATTAAAGGAAGAATACAGACCACCTGCCCCCTCATTCAGTTGTCTTTTCCTAGTAGCACATGTGTTAAAAAATGAAATGGGGGGTTTCAGAAAGAAGCAGAGAGGGCTGAGGCAGAAAAAACAGATTATGAATGTTATAAAATGAATGTTATAAAATAGGTAAAAATTAGGCCAAGTGATAGTATAGTTTGTTTCTATTAATGAAATATTTCTATAAGAGCCCCTACCAACCAGACAGTTACATTCTTTATAAAGAAAAGGTAAGCTTATTAAGAAAAGATGCATTTTAATGCTGAATAGATCATAATCATAAAATGGAGCTATAGTAATTAAGAAAAGAGACTGCTTAGATGTACCTTAGGAAAACCATCTTTTCCTATAGGAAGTCTTTTTAAGAATACTTAATGATATCTCATAAAGAACAACTCACATTTTGATGTGAATCAAATTGTGAGTATAAAAACCAGCATTGATTTTTTTTTCCTTTTCTTGAAATGACCTTATTTTTCTTCTACTTTACTTGTTTTTCAAATAGTTTCCATCAGTGAGTTTGTATTTGGTTTCCTCATTGGCTTTGTTCTTTACTTGTCAGTTTTCTGAAAATAAACCAAAAAACTTGATTTATTTTTGTCCCTTCAGTCATATTTTATTGACTTAGTCTGATTCTTTGTTTTTCTCTTTAAGCAAAATCACCCGAAAGCGTCTGTTTATGATGCTTTTCTTCTTTGTTCATTTTACTATGTTTCCTTTCTTTTTCTACACCCTTGATATTGTGTAGTCTGGGTGAATCCTGACTTTGGGGTCAAGAAAAATCAAATCTTTGACTTGATCATTACAAACCCAGTACTAGCCTTGTATGCTGGGTCAGACTCTTTGCTTTAAGAAAGCAAAGTTAACACATTCATGGAATTCAAAGAACACAAAGTTAACTGTCAACACATTCATGGAATTCTCAAATTCACAGATTCCAGTCTAACTGGTCCTCTTTGGAATGGTGATTAGTTAAATCCGGTCCTGTTCTTCTTTAAGTGAAAAATCATATGCTGTATAAGTTTCTGATAATAATCAAGAAATTCCCAGATATGTCCACATTATGGGTGGTATAATCAATCTATCTGTTCCTGGCTTTTAGTCTTTTTAATCTGTGGACCACTTACTTGGGGTATAAGATCCTCCACATTTCCCCACTCAGCATAAGAAACAGTTTATCTTGATGATGATAATAACTAGATTTTTCTGGAAAAATGTTATTAGTTTTCATTTACTAAATAGTTACTTTATACACACAGACCACCTAAATTCTCATAAACTAATGCTTGGACAGTCATTGACACAAAAAATAAAATTTTGTAAGCCAATATTATTATTTTATCGTACCTCACACATAAAGGATAATATGTATGGTATTATATGTATGTAAATAATATTTGATGCCCTATATTATGGTCTATGTTTTTATAAAATTGTTCCCTTGAATTAAAATACTTCTCACTTTATAGATATCATGTCACAATGTTTAAATGACTATTAAACCCATTATGGATTAGTAAATATACAAACACAATTTAAATCTTCTTGAATGAAATACATGTAAGTGTGATTTTCTTTACATGAATAATCTTTTTATCCAAAACTAGAGTATTAACTCTGGGAATAGTCACCTCTTATACATTTTAGGATTAAAAGTGTTTTTGTTTCCCCACCATTCATTCACACTGTTAATATTTCAGTTGTTGAATAGTGTACTCTTAGTTATTTAATTTCTAGCCTTCATCATCTACTCTGCATAAACAGACTTGATATTTATACTCTAGTTTTAATTATATACCATAATTCTCAGATCTCTGAACAAATAAATATGAATATTTATATTAACCACTTTCCAATTAAGTACCATGCTTGGGAAATGATCGAGGTAAACATTACATTACAAAGCTTAGGCATATTTAGAGATCAATATCAACAGGCTTGAAATCCTATTCCATAATTTTACTTTTCTATTAAAAAAATGAGAAGCCTAAAGTATATCATATGTTTGATCTTCAAGATAGATGTCTTTGTTGTTTTATTTAAATTTAAACCTGGTTGAATTTCAACCCAAATAGTACCTTGTAGTTGATCAAACAATATTGTTAGGACAAGAGATAATGTTATGGTTTTCTCATTATTGCCCTTTCAGAGCCTGTTTCCTGAGCCCCTATCCATACAAAGTCATTCTGTGCAATTTCTCAGAGCTCTGTGGGATAAGACCCAGGCAGAGGGTGCTCACAGCTTTGAAACAGCCATGATGGAGTCCACATTTCCACAGCAGAAGGTAAGTGTTTCTTTTCTTGGGGATGTTATTTTAAACCAATATTCAAGATTATCTTGAAACAGTTTGCCTTTTTCTTAACAGTTCAGTTTTTTTCTTCCTTCCTTTACCTCCTTTCATCATTATCAAAAAACATTGATTAATTAATGATTTTCATGTGGTAATCATTGAAAAGACAGAGTAATATTGGTAGATAGGATTATTGCTTGTTATGACTATTAAATTAATATTTGTTAAATGGAACACAGGGTGCCAGATGGTGAGTCCCGGTTCAACAAAACACCACAAGAGAAATTGAAATAGAGAAATTTATTACTCACAGGTCCTGGAGGAAGTACATAGCACACCTCTAGAGGCTACAGGGGGAGGTCAAAGCAAGGTGCAGGCAGAGAGAGAGGCAGGACCTGGGACACACGCCTTTATTGCAGCTGTGGGTGGAGGACTTTGGGAAGTTCCCAGGCTAAGGCCAGATCGGTCAATTCAAACCAAAAAGAGCAGTTTTCTGTAATCCTTGCCAGAATCTATCTAAAGGGCACACCAGGAGAAGGACCTCAGAAAGAGAGGAAACTGTTGATCACAAAAGGTATTAGAGGTGTCATATCATGCTTGTGACGCTGCAGGGTGCCATCTAAGGCATGAGTGTGCACGAGGGGATTAGTGTCAGTTTAAGGCCTCTGCAGCCCACTTGGTCAAACAAAATGGATGCCGAGGCAATACTACTATGGAGTAGCTTAACCAAATTCTCAACAGTGCTGTTTGAGGCTCACGGACTGACATAACACAACCCACTCAGAGACACACAAAAACTACCCACGTGGTGTGTAATAGAAAACGTTTTACAAAAGCAGACCATGGACTCTAGAATTGAAAGGGAAAAAGCATCAAGAAATTGGGCTGCAGTTCCTTGGTGCCTTTCATTTTTTCCTTCCATACTTCCCTTCATCCCTTTGTCCTCTGCAATTGCCACAAAGTAAAAAAACGAAAATAAGGTGGGCAGAAGAGAGGGAGCATGGTCAGGGTGAGAAAGAGCTCTATTGAGACAGGCAAGTATGACTTGAAACACAGCATTTTAGGGGTGTGGAAATAGGGGCAACACTCTCAGGACATAATTGAGACCTCCTGAGCAGACAGCAAATTGGGAAGGGACCAGAATATGGAACTGCACCCATTCACCAAATAGAGTGAAACTGGAAGTGTATCTACACTGACATGATGAGATTTGCATGAGAAAAGTCATAGGCCTGGGTATGGAGGAAACAATTCAAGTAAACCTGGCTGGAGATAGGAAGGCTACTTAGGAAGTATTACTAACTAGAATCAGGTAGGAAATGAAGGTCTGAACTGAAGTTGGAAGTTGTAGGGAGAGGATGGATTCAAGAGCTATTAAAGAAGTAGAACGCACAGGACTTGGTTCTTGATAAAGAAAATGGAAGAATCAAGGATAACTCCAGGTGCATCATATGGATGAGTGGATGATGGCACCCTTCTGAAAAAGAGACCACAAAGGGAACTGAGGTGGAGGAAGAAGATAAAGCATTCTTGTTTATGTATTTTGAGTCTGAGTTATCTGTGTAGATAACCAGGTGGTGATGGTGGCTGAAATGCCTGTGTGGACCTCAGGAAGAAGACCATTATTGGAGACATGGATTTAGAAGTCATAAGGTAGCACTTGATGTCATGGCAATAGATCGGATCACTCAGGGAGAATATGTATAATGAGAATAGAGAATGGTTATTGATCTCTCCTTAGTAAATATAACCAGCTTCTCTAAGCTCTTCCCATACTCAAAGATTCTGATTATTCTTATTTTGCCTTCAAGAAAGCCCAGTAATAATTATTGGATGCTTACTGGGCAAACCAGAGGTTCTGAGAGTAATGATCATGGTCTCTGTCCCTGTTTTACTATTAGAAGGGGAACAAGTATACCAATATTAAATAAATTCAAAGTACAGACAAGCAGCAAATTAATCATTATATGGTGAAACAACTCAATACCTCTTAAGTGTGAGAGGATTGGGTTAGCCTGGTGTTGGGTATTAAGGAGGGCACATACTGCACGGAGCACTGGGTGTTATACGAAAACGATGGATTGTGGATCACCACATCAAAAACTAATGATGTATTGTATGGTGACTAACATAACATAATAAAATAAGATCAAAAAAGAAAGAAAGAAAGAAAGGATTGTAAGAAGGATGACAAATGGGTTTGATTAATTGGAAATTTATTTAGAATGGTCTGAAGATGCATCCAACTATTGCATCACTATTTTTTGGCTTTGGTTTAAGAATTAGACTTGCAGTATTAAGAATAAAGGAAATGCCATGATTGCATCAATGTAAAGTAGAATGGATTTTTTTTTTGCATATTTCATTCAAATTTTAAAATGTTGCATCATGATTAAAGACAATGCCTCAAATTCTTATAAATTTTTCATGTGAACTGTATTTTAACTACAGGCAACTAGTAAATTAACACTTGGAAGGCTGCTTCAGGTCCTGAGAGATTTTTTTTTTTTAATTGGCAAACCGGTTTTGTGCATGCTCACAAATATACTTCTTCATATTTCTTCTGTTTTATATCAATAAATATTCCTCTAGGGAAAAATTAACTGCAAATCAAAATGGTTTTGAAATCTTTAGTTTTGTAATTTTATTTATTCATAAGTAATAAAAAAAAAACTCTCTGATATCTGGAATGTCCATTATGTAGCAAAGTTATCTGCCCAGGTATTTCTCAATCAAATTGATTTTCTTCTGTTTTTTTATGAAGTGTTCTGCCCACTAAATTCAAAATAGCTGTGAGAATAATCCAAAGCCTGCTTTATTTTCCCCACATATGTCAGTATGCACATACACCAGCAATTTGAAAGTGATGTACATGTGTGTATCTGTTGCTGGAAATGAGTTAACACTGCAGCCAAGTGGATTCACGTACACCAAAAAGGAATAAACTCCTAAGAAAATGCCTGAGTCTCTAGAATGTAATGCTCTGGAAGGTTTGTTGTTGTGATTGCCTTTTAACAGAGTCTTGGAATTTTAGAACTGAAAATCAACAGTAAGGTAGCTATTAAATCGCCACCCGCTTGGGGGCAGAAGTTACACCCTGTTTATCATTGCATTTGCAGGGTCACATGGTGCCTGGCATACACTGGACTCTCAATAAATAATGGGTACCAACTGAATAAATAAGTGAATCCTGTCATTGTCCAGATATTAAAATTAGAAGAAAAGGGACCTGTTGAAAGTCACATGGCTAGTCAATGGCAGCAGTAGAACGTGAGCACATGACATGGTGACATCACAGCTGTCATGGATGTTTCTTGTTCCTCTCTACTCTGGGCACATAAGAAGGTTACGGTTCCCTGCCTCTTGAAGTAAGGCTTGGCCATGTGACTTGCTTCATCCAATGAAATATAAGAAAGGATACATGTCCCTCCAGGCAGAAGCTCTTAAAAACAACTATGTGATTCTCTGTTTTCCCTCTCTTCACCTACCATAGTGACTGTAGAAACAAATGTTGATATTAAGTTGCCAGCACATGGGCACAGAATTCTGAGCCACCTCACAGAGGACTGGTGCTCTGGAGAGCCACCCAGACCCACTACACACTTCCCATGAAGAAGAAACAATCTTTTGTTTTGTTAAAAACTAAGGTTTTGGTGTGATTAACATAACATAATAAAATAAAAATATTTAAAGAAATAAAATAAAATAAAATAAAAAAGAAACAACACAACATGCCAAAGAACCCCCCCCCAAAAAACCCCAAAAAACTAAGGTTTTGGTATTACAGCGGCATAACCTACCTATCTTGACTCCTCCACCTACCAGAGTAGGTAAGCACGGCTCTGCAGCCAGACTTCCTGGGTTTAAAACGTGGCTCTGCCACTTTCCAGTTCTGAAGCCTTTGGCTCTGAACTCCAGTTTCTTTGTCTATACAATGGCTATAATATCTGTTCCTACCTCATAGAGCTGTTTGAGGATTGAATAAGTTAATACATAGTGTATTATAACATACAAAAATCTCCTGTCCTAAACAAAGTTTAAGACAAATTTTTCTTTATAACCTTAAGAAGAAAAATCTGGCAATAGCTGGTGGTATGATAAATTCCTGTACCCTATTATCTTGCGATTCCATTTCTAGGTAAAACTCTCACATACCTGAACCAGGAGACAAGCACAGATGTCAACTGAATATTATTTACACCAAAACATCAGGAGCAGTGCAAATGTTCATCAGTAGAGAAATTAAGAAAATGTTGTGGTATAATCATGCTACACAGACAGTGAAAGTGAATTAATTAGACCTATATGTAATAACATGGAGTCAGTCTTGAAAACAGGATATTAAGTTTTAATAAGCAAGTTGCAAAAGTATAACAAATAGTATGGTAACTTACATAAATTTTTATAACACTCTAAGCAGTATTATGAATGCTTATGGGTACATATACCTGTGGTAAATTTACAATACCGTATTTGGAATCACACCAAAATTCCTGATAGGCTTGCCTCTGGATAACAAAGAAGTGGGTAAAGGAGAGAGGGAAATGTTACTGGAAAGGGAAATAAGGAGATCTCAATTTCATCTGTAACTTTGTTTTTTAAAAAATCAGAAGCAGGGATGCCTGCGTGGCACAGTCAGTTAAGCATCCCACTCTTGGTTTCAGCTCAGATCGTGATCTCAGAATGGTGAGATCGAGTCCCACGTCGGGCTCAGCGCTCAACATGGAGTCTGCTTGAGATTCTCTCTTCTTCTCCCTCTGCCCCTCATGCTTGTGCTCTCTCTCTCTCTAAAATAAATAAATAAATCTTTTAAAAAATCAAAAGCAAAATATCAGTATTTATTAATATGGCGAGCACATAGGTATTTGTTACATTATCCTTTGTATATGCTTTTCTTTCTTTTAAAAAAATTAATTAAACCTGTAAGTAATGTCTAAGAGTAGAGTGTTGATAGGTTCGATTATATAAAAATATAAAGCTTATAAAAAACAAAA